GTGACCTTTAAGGCCCACCCCAATCCAAACCATTCTGTGATTCTATGCTGCTAATGAAATTCATTATTAATTATTTAATTGTTAATGATGAATCCCTGTAAATCAGTAAAACCCATTTGGGACCAAGAATTTGGACTTTACATGGGCAATGAAAGACTCTGCTCTCTGAGGACCAGAATTTTGCCCTGTGCAGGGTGCAAACCACTTGGGTGGTGTTGAGGAAGTCTTCAGCCCTTCTGTGGGAACTCTGAGTGGGGGAGGATGTTCAGGGAGCAGGAGAAGGAAGCCACTCAACCTTGGTTTCACACCAGGCCTGAAACCTGCTCAAGATGTCAGGGAAGAACTCAGCTTAAGTAGAATCACATGTACCAAGGCTAAACATATATCCAAGATTAAACATAAGCATTGTGTATTCAGATTCTCCACTTCTTCCACTTGGTCATATTGGAATGAAGTAATATTCCATTGCAATGGACTTTGTTGCTGTTTTCCAAAAAATGGGAGGGACTGACCAGGTCATAGCATTGCAATGACACCACAGGCTTGACTTTTGCAACAATGAAGTGAAACAGGCGTTTTAAAACATTAATTTTATATGAAAAAATAGCTCATGCCAAGTCATTTGTCATAATCACATTTCATTAACAGTAAAGTTAACAAAATCACAATATACAGATTCAGTATGTATTTATTTATATATGTCACTTTGTATTAACCATTAACTCTATGTAATAAAAATATATTACAACATTTGATATGTATCCACGAAGCACAAGCCATTGTAAACAGAACAGACAGCACAGGCCCCATTATTCAAAATCTGAACTCAGGACTAATAATTATTTCGTTGTATTCCTTTAAACTGTAGACACAGAGGATTTTATGTGTTTGCCTTTGCATTAATGGATTTGTTTCTCTGGAATATCTCTTAGGAGACTCTCAGAGTTTATCATTCCTGGGACCCTAAAATCCATGTTAACTCATGGCACTCTTAAGTGTGTTGTCATTACAAAGAGGTCTGTGCATCCCTTTATCCATGCAACTTAGAAAGGTTTCATTTATATTCCCATTTCCCCCCCTAAATAAATAGCCCCTGCAATTTCACCCCATTGTTATACAAAAAAAAAAGTTAAATGCAATAAATTATAGTGGTATATTTATAATAATATAATCAAACATGCCCTATCTACAGCAGCTGTTAATGTTATTTCATAACTATCTTCCTTCAGACTGGCTCTAGGTGCTTTTAGAAATAGGAAACCATCTATTTTTTCAATATTTGCAAAACAAAATAAATACTTTAAATACACTGACTGAACTTTTTATACCTCTCATGATATGAATGGACCTTACTCACCCAAGCAACCCCACAGTCCTTGCAGCAAGGAGTTGTAAAACCAGCTCCTAATGACTTTTTTAAAAATCAAATAATCTTCTAATAGTCTAATCTAGGGACAAAAGTTTATATCCAACTGTATCTGGAAGGATAAGTAATAGGTTACATTCTGCAGGAATTCAGAAGGGAACGATTAGTGATTGCCAAATATATGGAAATTTTAATCCTAAAATAATCTTCAAAACTGAAAACGCTGTGAAAAAAAAATCCAAGGATTAGAAAAATGCCCTGTGTATAAATAAAGTTAATCAAGGCACCTCTTAGTTACCTATTTCTATGTTCCAAGGCAATATGTGATAATAGTTTTCAAATGTCTTATCTGGGAAGCCCTATGGTTTCTGCTATAAAAAGACCCATTCTTTAGTCTGGCTGATGCAGGTAGCTTTATTTTACTATTTTTTAAATGAGGCTGGGCACAAAGCAAAGAGAACTCTTCCCCAACCTTGTCACATGTTTGCTGTGTGACCCTGAGGGCACCGAGCATTTCACTGACTTTTTCCTCACAAAAGTCACTCAATTAATGAGATTTCTTCCTTTGTGGTTTTTTTTTCCCCCCTCTGTTGGTCGTTGATCCCATTAGCAAAACAGGAGGAGGATTTACCTGTCTGTGCACAGGGGTTTAGTGGTCAGGAGGTAAATTAAAACACTTTGGTATCTGACAGGGCTTTTTGGAGTTTTTGTTCGAGAGCTCAGAGTGCAATGCAGAGCAGGACAGTGGGATGGGCAGAGGGGGGAGGGCTGCAGCCAGTTCTGCACCATGGACCTGCTGCACTCCCACTAAAACCTCACTGGGATGCTCTGGGATTGCATTAAAAAACACTGGATCCAAATCCCAAGGGAATGGGGACTTCTGATTTTTTTTTTTCTCTTTGCATGACTTTTAAAAAACATTTGTTTTAAAGCTCTGATTACAGAACTACAGTGACTAGAAAACAGAAAGATGGAGAGGAACTTTGGACCAGAGCAAGGACAGGACAAAGGGAAATGGATTGAAACTGTCTGAGATTTAGATGGGATTTTGGGAAGGAATTTTTCCCTGGGAGGGTGGGCAGCCCTGGCACAGGGTGCCCAGAGCAGCTGGGGCTGCCCCTGGATCCCTGGCAGTGCCCAAGGCCAGGCTGGACAGGGCTTGGAGCACCTGGGACAGTGGAAGGTGTCCCTGCCATGGCTGGGGTGGCACTGGATGGGATTTAAGCTCCCTTCCAACCCAAAACCCCTCCATGATTCTCTGACTCAGTAATAATTCCAGATGGAAATCCTTTCCCTAACATGACTTTTGTGTGTAAATAATCAGCCATATGGACTTGTGCCTTTGGGTATATTGAAACCATGTGAAATAGCAAATTTCTTCAACAACAAAAAAAAGTTATTTTACTCCTCAGTTGCCACCCCTGCTGTCACACCCCTGATGCTTTTGCTTCTTGGCACACACATTTCTGAAGGGCACTTGCAGCCTGTAGGGCTAATCCTCCTCCTTAGAAATATAGACATACAATGACAAACTTCAGCTCGTAGATCAGCAGTATTTGCTTAAAAACCAACAATCCTAAATACATATTTACACCAAACACACCAGGAGTACAGGTAAGCAGCTGACATTTTACAAAGACTGCAGCAGCTCTTTTCTCTGTGTAAACTTTTATACCCTCCCAACAGGGACAGCTGCCTTTTGGAGCAGGATGGTTTTCCTAAAAAAAAAATACTTCACCCATCGAAAATTTTCACTATATTGAATACTGAAAGCACAAGAAGCAAATCAAAACCAAATAGATTTAAGGCTACAATGTCGTTGTTCTCACTTATTCAGGTCTGGGCAGGTTACAAAGACATAATCCCTGATTCTGCAGACACAAAAGCCTGTGCTCAGCCCTCACAATCCAGCAAAGCAAACACCCAGTGACTCTGGGTCAGGATCTAACTGAGCTTTCCCTGACTTTCAGAGTCAAGTAACAAAGAGCTGACAGAGCTGTGAACTCTCTGTCTTTGCTTTTAAGCTTTGTTTAATCAGAAGAACACTGAGTGTGGGGATAAGACAGTTCTAACAGCAGTGAAAAGCAATTTCCAAAGGGTTATTCCAGAGATATTCACTGTACACATAAAAATGTATAGGACAAGATATTCAGAGCCTTCTTCATTTAGAATTGAGAGGTGAGGGAGCTATGAAACCTCGGGCATGTAGGTCCAGAAAAATTCACATTCTGCAGGTGACCTAAACCTCTTGGAATTTAAGAATTAGACTGTCTGGTCATTCAAAGGATGTGAGTAGTTTCCATAAAAATCATCTGAAGACCATGAGAGTCTTCCCAAACCCCAAAATATCCTCTTATGGCAGCTGTCAGCCCAATCTATGGCACAGCTACAGGGCTTCGACAGGAATTTCACCTTTTTCTTTGGAACGAGTCTGAGAGACTTGGAGAGCTCTCAGGGTGGAAGCAGGGCACTGGGAAAAGCTCACTGCAGCCAAGGAATCCCAAACCATTGCAGCAAAGCCAGTTTGTATTTCCCAGCCTCCCATTTACAGCCATTCCTGCCTCACTTTTGGAGCCTTCTAAAGATGTTCTGATACAGCTGGGGTTTGAAGTTTAGTCTAAAAGGTCTTCTCAAAGTTATTTTTAAAAAAAATAAAAATCCTTGCCAGAAGATTTTACTGTTGACCTGAAGCAGACCAAGATAATTTTCTAGGTGCTTTGGCAAAACTGAGAGGGTAAATCATTGCTAGAGGCAGGGATGGGGCTTTTGGGGGCTTTTTGAGGTTCCTTCCAACCTCAGCTGGTCTGGGATGCTGTGATATGTGTGGCTACAGCTGCAGCAGCCATCAGGCTCCACCAGGATTTGCCTGAAACATTATTTAATCTCTAGATTTGAAGGTTTGTTTTTATTTTTCAGACATAAGGGAAGTTCTAAAAAGTCTGGTTTAGGGCTACTGAAAAGAGGTTTTTAGGGTCATCTACTCAAAGTGTAAGAACAAGGATAGAACTTAATTAGTTATGTGGCTGCCTGGCATTGGAAGTGAGCACATCAGAGGAGCTCCCTAAATCCTGTTCACATCCTTCCATTTGTAAATACCATGAAACCAGGGTGCTACACATAGAGAAGAAATCTACAAATCCTGGATAAAGTCACCTAATGGACCCCATCCTCAGGTGAAACCACCATTATTTTGATTTATGTCAAGAGAGGGCCTGGTACTTAATAATTGTTCAACAGTCCTTATCAGTCTCTCATAGTTTTTGCCAGTTGCAATTACCCAGATTTTCACATTCCAACTGGCTCAAGAGAAAAACAGGAACCATCATCACAGCTCACAGTGAGGGCTCTGAAATGGTGTAAAAACCGTTCAAATGAACAAAGGGAAAAGCTCAGAATCCACAAAACAACGTGGTGGACTACATTCTCTTAATCATCTGCCAGTGCTCTGCCTGCCAAATTCACAAGCTCTGAAGGAAATGTTAATTGAACATGCGTGTGAGGAGTAGATATTGCATATGGGTCACAGATACAACAAACAGAAATCTGCATATTGCCTAAGCAGCTGCCCAGATTTTGCACATGCAGCTCCAGATTTTGGGCACAGGTTGCAGCCAAACTTGACAAACTTTTTTTCAAAAATATTGAAGTAACAAATGGAAATTCCCCCAACCCCCCACTCCCCTTGCACACACGTGTGTTAGACAAGAGAACAGCTCTGCTTCATGAGCAGAGATAATAAATACTGTGCATTACATTTACCAGCATGATTTTAACTCACTCCAGTCAGAGTGTTGTGTAGTACATATAATACTCAGCAGACAGATAGTTACTCATATCTACATTCATCACCTAGACACACATTTTAGAAAATTTTGCCAGTTGCCTATAAGAATTCAGCTGAACATCTAGCACTTAACAAGCCACAGCATCATATTTCGAGTATCCTATAAAATGTCATCAGGAAATGTTGGGGTGGTATTTTTATTTCGTGTACTGAGGCAGTTTGTCAAGCACCAGCATTTACAACTCCTGCTTGCTTCAGATGGTCAAAACATGACAGAGAGCTGATGCAAGGAAGGGGAAATCATATCTATTCTCTGTTACAAGATTAATTACGGAAGAAAGGCACCATGAAAGAGAGACAAATTTTTAAACACATACAAGGGGAGAGATTTATTGCTCATGGTGGGATATAAATCAACCAGTGACTGACTGTGATACACAAGCATAATGAGACAAGTCCAGTGCTGTGTTCTCCATCTTTTACTAGACATCCTACATGGATTATGCTTTTTTCTCCTGGGAAATTAGCTTGCTCTCTTTGAATTTGAAGGTTTAAATGTTTCTGGAGCTGCCCTTATTGACCTACAAACCTCCCATTGGCTTTGGCATCAGCTCCATGTGTAAGTTTACAACAGCTGTGGCCTTTGCTGGTTCAGTTTAAGCCAAACATGCTCAATATGGAGCTTTTTGTCTTTTTAAACTCAATAATATTCAACTTTCTAACATCCTGTATCTAACATTCTAATACAATCCAATCATCAATATGTCTTGAATTTCTTAACAAACAAGTATTGAACTGGGTGTTTTTATCTATTGCACCTGAGAAAATTATGTTAAACCTAAGAAGCAAAATGATTAAGATGAGGTAGACTATTTAATCTGGCTGAGGGCTCATTTAAATGCAGTGGTTTAAAAGCTTCCTTAAATTCTGTGGCTACAGTTATGTGTGGATTTTATTGTAATTATGGGTTTTTTTATAACTGAAATTAAGAATTAAGCTGAAAATTTTTATTTACATGGTAGCTGATAATCTTCAGATAATAACTGAGGTATTACCCTACATTCACTGACTTTGGGGTGAAGCCCCTCACTGGGTCCCCAGTCTGGACTTTGAATCAGAGGCCAGAAAATTCAATATTTTAACATTGGACATTTTTTGCAACATACCAAGCCCTTCTCTTGCATGAGAGAAGGTGGCAACTGAAAAATAATCCCACATTTTTTACAACTTGAGGCCTTATTTCCTCAGAATGGCATTGATAGATGGAATATGAGCTGGGATAAACGGCAGTACAGCCAGTTGTGTCAGCTGTTATTGAAGCTGCCTTTGCATTCATGAAGCCTAATTAACCAAGCCTATTTTAAAATCTGGGCAGGCATCTGAGTGCATGGTAAATGTTAATAATGCTCCTATGCAGAACTGCAATCCAGAGCTGTAAAGGTTTGTACTGACACCTCCAGAGATTTGCACATTCAGATGTGGCTTCACATTATTGGTTCCACTTTCATGGTGGAGAGGGGGGCCTATTATTTGTGCTCCACTTGCTTTGGAAATTATACTTGAAACTCAGATTTAGGCTCATCTTTCCTTTAAGTAGGAAAAAGCCCCATGATTAATAACTCCTCAGAAAAAGGGATTTGTTATTTTTCCTCCTGGGCACAGGGCCCAGATCTGCAGCTTTGGGCAAAATCCAGCTACTCAGAGCTGAGCTATATGGAAGGTAGGCAGGAGGCATCCTGACCTTTCCACCCTGTCTACCACTTGTATTTTCCTGAAATTTAATGGGGAGAATATTAGTGGGATTCTATGTAAATAACTTTAAAAATTTAGAGAAGACATGGCTGAATCCAGCACACTCCAGAAGTGGTTTTTCTCTTCCTTCAATTCTATGGAATTCTTCCTAAAATATATATCAGAAAAGGCTGAACTGTACTGGGTGCTGGATGAATATTTAGATTTTTTTTTTTTAAGCTTTTCCCATTAAGATATTTTCTACAAACAACCTTCTCAAGCCACTAGGGTGGGGTGGTTTTTGTAAAACCACGTTGGCAGCTACATCAGAAGGAGCTTTACCTGCAGCCAACGACAAACACAGCACAAATATCCCTGCGCAGCTTTTCAGAATAATCTTACACCAGCAGCAGTTTGCTCCCATTACCTTCATGAATCCCTCTGCTGAGGACTGGGTTTCTATCTCTAGATGCAGCTGCTGATGGAAATCAATGGGAGATTTGTATTTGTGGAGCCTGCAGGACCACGGATCAATAGCGCTCTTCCAGTCGGATGTGACACGGGCTGCTGGAGGGACACGGTCTGGGCTTCACCCTGCCCACAGCTGCCTCCCAAAACCCAGACAGCTGAGGAGAGCTACTAGGGGTGGGCCAGTTGCTGTTGTTCACAAATACCCCTGGACAGGTGCCATACCAGGCTCCTCACTCGTTCAGCTGCGGGAGGTTCCGGTTGTGCGACTCGCCCGCCAGCGCCGAGGAGTTGATGGAGCTTCTCTTGAGGATCTTGTTTATGATGTCCTTCCACGTCTTCTTGTACTGGTGCCGCAGCAAAGAGTACACAAAAGGGTCTGAAACAGCTTTGCTGTAAGCTAAGCACTTGGAGATGATCCCCCAGTGGGAGTTGATGTGGACCACAGAAGATAATTCAACAAGTCTGGGGAAAGAGGGAGGGTGAAAGAGTGAACGTTAAAAATTACATTAACCCACCCCAAACCCACAAATTATTGCTGAGCAATCGCAGCAAAACTAAAGGAAAGAAAGCCCTACTCGTAAAAATGTGTATGTTGTCCTCCTCTTATAAATTTTAAAGGCTGCAAATGTAAATTTGAGGCTTGCTTGCCAAAGTGCCATTGCTTGGTCTCAGGGGAACAAATTCCTCTACTATGAGCAACCTAAAAAACCAGCATCATTCTGAACTCTTGGTTCTGGGTCCCCTCTAGAGCATCTGAGTCACCTCACCAGGGCTAAGCAGCTCTTTTGGCCAGTTCACTCCTAGAGAGAGTTGATGCCTTTGACCACTTTGTCTGAGTTGTAGAAGCACACACAGCAAATTCATCGCTGAGAGATGGCATATTGTACCTTGAATTTAAAAACTGGCCAGTTCAAAAGGCAAGGATTCATATTTGCAACAAATATAGCAAGACAAAACTTTTTAATCGTTATGGGAGGAGGAGGGGGAAGAGCTTAATATACTCCTCATACCTACACTAGCCCAGATGAGAGCATTTTTGACAGGGAAATATTGATAACTCCCCACGCCTTTGAGCAGCATCAAAGGGCAGCTCTGCTCAATATGCCTCTATAGCTGTTAGAAACTATTGATTTTTATAGAGGTCAAACAGCCACGTGTGCTATTACAGAGCCCCACATGGCAGGTCAGGTCTTTGCTGGACCTGTCTGCAGCAGCAGATGTTCTTAAATCTGCCTGGGAAATGCTTCAGTTGCTCACATTTCTACAGACAAAGCTCCACTTCCAAGGAGCATTCTGGAGGGTGGTTCCTGCAGCAGCAATGACAATAATGTCGTTACTTCAAGCAGTTTAGAGATGAGGGTTTTTTTTCCTAAGTCATCCCTATCTCATAACCTTTCACTACAACATATTATTTAAAATAATGCTGGCAGATGTCACAGTCCAGTCAATGTGAGGGACAGTTCAGGTGACGAGGGAATGAAAATACTTGGGAATTGTTGGTGCCACTCCACTGGTACTGTTTGGCTCAGCAGAGTCTCCAAAGAGCCCTCATCTGTCCCATTTCTCTCTCATCTCAAATAAACAAATGTTCTTTCTGTAATTCATGGTTGTTATCTTTCCCACAAAGATCAGAACTGAGACATAATTTTCATCTGCTGGAGTTTCCAGGTGGTCTCATCTGGTGTATTCTCTCTTCTTTAATAAAATGCAACTTATGGCATCTACGTTAACGTGTTCTAAAATGAGAATTGACAATTTTGAAATTAATCATCTACTGAGTCATATTTGCTTTGTAATCTACCATGAGCCATCCTTGTTGTTCTCCACTTCATTTATTCGATGCCTGCTTCAAGTTTTGAATTTCACCACATTGAATCTCATTTGGATGATTTATTTTTACTGAGTGCTTTACAGATGTGAATTTGATTACGTTTAATTAAATTCAGCGGATGCCTTGAATAACCAAAATATGACAAATTTGTGTCTGAGGCTCTGTCAGTCAGTTCTATGAGACATTAACAACCTCCATTTAAAGCACATCAAGCAGACACTTCAGGGTTGCAAGCCTAGACTTGCTAATTTTGCCTTCATTGACTGATCAAATGAAAAGCCTACACTTTTATTAACAAGATCTTAAATATTTTCTTTGCGTTCTGTAAGTCTCCTTGACATTTACACATTTTTCAATTCTCATGCATTATTTTTTATGGTAAATTACATTTGCTGTTATCAAGCAGCAAACACAGAAATGTAGCCAAACCCTGAGCTATGCATTTCCATTTCATGTACAAACAATTAAATGTCAGCCTTTCAAGGCACATCACAGAATTTATTGCCTTTGAAAGGTTTTGTTTCTCATTTGTGAGGGAAATTATATGCACAGCTTCCATTTTCATGAAATGTTTCAGCCTAAAAGAAGACATTTTCAGTGAATGAACATTAATATTTCAGTGCTACCTGTAAATTAAATTTTACAGTATCAACATAATTCCCTGGCTTGCTTTCATAAGCCTCTCTTCTACTGTCTGCCCTTTTTATTTCAAAGCTGTAAGCTCTTTTTCTGTGATGTTTTGGTCATATTTTAGAAACTTACAACTCTGTAGAGTGTGTCATTTAACATGGCTATCCAATTATGCTATTTCCCCTTCAGTAAGTAAACAAGAATGCCATGTCGAAGACGGTGACCGTGATCTCTACACACATAATGCACACTGGAAATCCTTTATTTACATGTGCAGTTGATCACTACACTAAAATATTTTACTGAACGTGTGCCCACTCGGCTGGGATGCTGAAGAACACAAATTGCACAAGAATTCTGAGCTCTTTGTGTGCCCAAGCAGGATCTGCATATGCAGAGGGCAAACAACAGTTTAAAACCAGGGTTTGCTTACCCCCTATCCCCCAGGGATGATACAACAGAATTTTAATCATCTTCTGCCTGTTCCACCATCCTCCTCTGTAACCTGAGGGCATGGGATTATGAACTTCTGCCTGCTATTACTTCAGGATTTTTAATTTAAGGCAAATTTCCTCACACGTTGACAGCACTTATTAACTTACATGAGCAAAGTTCTGTATGTCAGTACGAAATGCCTAGAAATTTTAGAAACTCGTATGATTTATCTTCATTTTTCTTATGAAAAGGTTCCTTGGAGAAAAGAGGTTTGGAACAAATATATTTAATTACATAATGATAAATATAGGGAAGGAAGAAATGTGTACCAGTAGATTATTTAACAAAACAAGAAGCAAGCTATGCCTAGAAATATATAATGGGGGGATTTACACCTGTCATGTTGGTAAAGTGGAAACACTGGGTCAAAGGCAATCAGATTTTGATACACTACTTAAGGGCATCTACTGAGCTAATTAGAAGGGTGTTGTCTTGATAAATGAAGTGCCTAATCTGATTTTTGCCTGAGTGTGTTCTGAAAAACTCAGCTTTACCCAGAGAAGCATTTATCTGTCTGGGGACATGAGCACACCCCCTTCACTCGTTCATGGAATATTTTTAGTATGGAAACAGGAAGATGTTGTAGTGAAACCTTGTGATTTGCTGCTGTCAGCCCCCAGTTCAGGGAGTACTTAAGAGCATGTTTAATTTAAATATATTGCTGATTAGGAGAGGCTGAGCAAGGCACTCCCTCTCCTGACTTCTGTCCACGGCTTGTACTGATTGATCATGTCCCTTTTGAGGATGCAAAGCACTGGACGTGGTCCAGAAATTACACAAAATCACACACTTGCTCACACAATTAAACTCCAATTCTCCCAATCCCCTCAGTGTCCAGGTGCTCAGCCCTGTGTGTGAGGCCCAGGGCAGGCAGGGATGAGTGTCCTGGAATAACCAGCCCTGCAGGTGTCCAGCAAGGGCTCTCAGGGAGATCAAGAGGGAATTCCCCTCAGCCTGTGCAGCTCTGGGAATTGGAAAAACAGAAACTCCCACAAACACTGAAGGGTTTGATCTGCAGCCTTGGAAGAAGCTTGGATTGATGTAAAAGTACAATACACAGATATTAAGGAGAAAAATCATAAACTTGTGTTTCTATAGCTGTAAGTAAGAATATGCCTTCAGTAAGTGAGAAACTGCACTGATGAGATGGTGAAGGGTTTCCAGTGTAGGGGCGGGGTTGTGTGGAATTACTGAGAGTTTAGAAGTTATAACAGAAGCAGATGTGTGCCCGTGAGACAGAAGCCCACTGGACAAAAGCATCCTCAGTGCAGCAGAAGTGAGTAAAGGTGATAGGTCAGAAAAGCAAAATAAACCCTGTGGCAACTGTCCTTTGGGTTAGAAAGTTCTGTATTGCCTTGTGACAAAGAACTTGTGACTGCTCTGAGCTATGGCCGAGTGCTGGCTCCTCTGAAATCTCACAGCCTCTGAGACTGGTGTTTGTCTGAGCAATAAATCATTCATAGCCTGAAAATAGTCCCATCCTTTCATTTTTAGCAGTGACAATGATATGCAGTGACCTTTTTACACATGTCAGAATTGAAAAGGCCAGGAATGTGGGAGACTTCACCCCTCCTGACATGTCTGACCAGCTCTCACTCCAAAACACCCTCATGCATCCAGGACCCTGTATTTTCCCTCCCCTCACCATCACCCTCTGTTCCTCAGCAGAACATTGAAGTGATCCTTGTACAGACTAAAGGGAGGATGATCAGGATGGATGATCAGGATTGTTCTACCCCCTCTTCTGTATTTTAAGGCTACTGGGACACAAATTGGGATGCCACGGAGTGAAGAGGAGATGGGGAGGTGGTGCCTGAGTGCTGAGATGCCTTTGGAGGAGCACAAAAATACTCCTGACAGCTCTGGTTAGAGCACTCAGTGTCACTCAGGATGAGCTGCCACCTATTCTGTGACTGGGAGGATTTTCATTAAGTTCAGAGACCATACATGAAATGAAAATTAACCATTTGCAAAAAGACAAAACTTTAATATCTTACAGCTTGAGAATTAAGGCTAAATGTCCTTAATTACAAGGCCTTTCATACCATTTAGGTGCATGGCTTGCTGTGGTGTCTTGTGGCCACGAAGTGAAAGTGAAGGTAATTCTAGTAAATTACTTAAATTTTATAATTCTGGGAATTCAGGGTATTACACTGAGTTGGAAAAGTTCAAGGTTGGCCAAACGCTCAATTATATTGACTCTTAATCCAGATTTTTCAATGATTTTTTCAAGGTGTATCTGAGATTGAATGAGGTCAGCCTCACTAATTTCCACTTAATAGTATTGGAATAGGTGATACCTTTTTTTTTCTTTTTCTTTCTCTGTTGTGCATAGCAGCATCTCAGTTTTTCCAAAATCTTATAATAAGGAATGTAAGCTGTAAATTTCCTTTAACAGCTAGATAACTTTTTTCCTGGATGTACTCACTTTCTAACACTTTTTATTTCACAGGAGTAATTTAGTGTTTCCCACAGGAGCCATTTCCAAAGATAAGCTGGTGGATGGATATCTACCATAAATCACGAGAAGATTTTTCAGTTATGAGCCAGCACAGCTCTGATATTTGGTATTTATTACTAATAAACCCTACCCAATCAGACAAAACTGTTGTTTAAGTCTGTGGACCATGTTTTCGCCTCAGTAGAATCTTGTTGACCAAATTTTTACAGTCTGAGCTATTCAGGCGAGAGTTTCCCTGGAGATCAACCCCTGGACTGGGAAGTCAGTCAGAGCAGTGGGTGACAGCAAAAAGTGTCTGTGATGCCTTGAGAAAGCTGCCCTAGAGCAGAGGCTGGACAGAGCTAAAGAATAAAGCAGGGATTTACTCAAAGGATCTCCTCCATGGATGCCCCTTGGGCAGCACCAGAGCCCAGCCAGGGCTGCCCCCAGGATGAACCCAAATGGCCCCAAAATGCACGAGCGCTGCCGGGGTCTCTCCCTGGGCTCAGCTCTGCTCCATGTGCACATTGCAGTTCAGTGTCCAATCCCACTGCAGCCCCTGCAGTCCCACCCTGCTTGTTTTTCTCTCTGCAGCCCACGGGGTTTGTGCTCCTGGGCTGAGATTGGGATCATTTGTCCTTGGTGCCCAGCTGGAGCAGGAATTGTTTTGTCTCCCTGCTATGCACAGAGCTCAGCATCCCCTGATGTGAACCCAGACCCACACACTAAAGCAGCACAGAATGTGAAAAATAGAAAAGCTAAACCTGAGGCATCATCTGCAAAACCGTATGGAGTGACTTCCTAAATCCCTCCCATGCAAGCAGCACGTTGCCTGGGCTGAGTGAGCAGAGTCTGACCCTCAGACTGCATCAGGACTGAGAGGAGAAGCACTGGGCCATTTTACATCATTTGTTAGCTCAGTAAATGCAACCTCTGCTGCAGGAGTGGGAACGGTGCACCAGATTTCCCCAGGAGACTGGAATCCTGTTCTGGCTGAGAGAGCCCTGCTTCCCTGAGCCAGGAGTGCATCTCAGCAGCCTTTTCCAGGATGTAGGTTCACACTTACCTTGTGATTACATAAGGGGCAAAGCACAGTATGAAGGTACCAATGAAGGTACTGATTTTCTTCGTGGCCCGCTGCCTCCGCCTCCTCTGCTCCTCCAGACAACGCTCTCGCACGCTGCGCGACATTCAACACAAACCACAACATCAGTCACAAACAACACCAGGCAACAGCTCCCCGTGCCTTCACCGTGGAATGATGGAGAATAGTCTGGTTTAGATGTGTAAACCAATAAGTGCACTGTGTTTAAGTGGGACAAAAGCAAATATTAATGCGTTGTCTGTTCATCCTACCCTCCACAAAGTTCCTGACAAATTGTTTGTATGTTTGTGTGCACACACCCCCATTATATCAATTGATCTATTGAAAAATTGGTGGATTTCATCCTTGAATTCAGTTTGCAGCTCCTTCTTGAACTACTGTAACCTGTATTTGCAGGCAAGATGATACTTAGAGGTTTGGAAAATATCCCGTTGGAATCCGAAATGCAGGGAATTCTCAGAACTTTGGGCTTGTAAGCCAAAGCTTAGAATTAAACACAGGATTTGATTTGAGACCTTGGAAAGGTTTCCAATCTTAGGTGCTAGAAGCAAAAATGTGGATTTATAGTTTAAAGCAAAGACATGTCACGTTAAAAAGAAGAAGTTTAGAGTTTTAAGAGTTTAAGATATAGAAGAAATAAAAGTAGTTTAGGTAAAGGAGGAGTTTAAAATGCAGTACTGTAAGTTTGTGTATCATAACATGATTGGCTAAGAAAGCTTACACTGTAGCATGAGTCCATAAAATGAAATATTTAAGGATTGGGTCAAAAACATAAATGTCCTTGGTAGCAGTGTTTAATTGGTCAATAACTCCTTAAAATGTCTTGTAACTATAAGTCTTGTGACCTTATGAACCATGCAGTGAAGATGTGAGCTGAGCTCACCCTTCCTATGTAGAAGGTAAGAAAATAAACCAAATAATCAAAAGCAATTAAGAGGTCCCATCTCTAACTCATTCAAAATTCCTTCAAAAATCCCCACATATCCAGAGTGGGATAGGCAGGATGCTTCTTCCCTGGAAACAGCAATTCCAACACCACTGCCTTGGAGAGGAGAAGCACCCCAGCAAGATACCCAACAAAATAACATCATAATGGGAAGAAGAACACTCTGAGCCTCCAGCCCAACATGGGAGCTCTCACTGTGTCCCACTGCCATAAACATCCCATCAGATCTGCAGGGCTGAATGCTCCACAAAGCTGGAATTGTTTCACAAATCCACAGTCTGGGATATCCTCATTCCTCACCTCAAACCAGCCCTGTTTCGAACTAAACAAGTACAAATTAGTCACACCTTGGTTTCTTTCCTACCTATGGTATTTTAGGATGGGAACTTTTCCTTTGAGTTTTCTGTGGATGGTCTCAGCAGGCCACCAGGGAGTTTTTAATCTTCTCAGGGAACCAGCAGGGCTGAGACCTTGATTTCAGTGCAAAAAATCCCTGAAATCAGCAGATTGGCTTGTGAAAACAGTGATTAATCTGAAAGCTCATCTTCCTCCTCTGTCTGAGGGACTCCTGTGCTCCCTGTGATTTCTGAGGGAAGTGGATGAGCTCCTGTCTGCTCCAGGCAGGTGGACTGGGCAGCAGTGGTATCTCCCACAGTGCCAGGACTGCCTGTACCTCAATAAATCCCTCTGGAAAGGGCACAGCAAAGCCAGACTGGCATCCTGAACCCCTCTCTGTGCCCATGGCAGAGCTGCTGACTCCTTGCACATATCTATATATCTATATAATCTATATCTCTATATATTTATTTTTTTTTAAACTCAACTGTTTGGCATTGGCCTTTCCATTCTTGTTGTAAATTTTTTATTGGTGACTCACTCTCAGGCTCCACACTCTCACAGCTCTAAGGCTCATGGCCATACCCTTACATTATTTACTTCATCTGTAAATGTTTTATCAACACCCAAACACATGCTGTGTCCTGAGGATCTCAGTGTGTTTCAGTCATCTCTGTGGCAATGAGCTCCTTTGGTTCTGTTGAAGAAAAAGTGTTTCTTTTGTTCCTTTCTAAATTTGGTTTTACATTGCCAGGCCCAGAGCAGCTATCATGATGGAGGAAAAGTTTGTTCTTCTAACAAATTGTCTCTCTCCTAAAGAATATGACACATTTAAAGGTGTTACAGGTTCTATATGTGAGTTATTTGCAGCTAGAAATGACAGCTGAGAAGGGGGGAAAAAATATCCACCTTTTCAAAGGAACCTGTGTGCTTTCAGTTCTGCAAGAGCTGGGGAACTTGGAGTATTTTTACGTGCAGAAAAATGATCTGAGAGTTTCATGAGCTTCGTTTAAGACCTGTGTTCTTAAATTCAGAATATCCCAAGCCCATGACAATACAGGAAAGTGAATCTCCAAACCAGGTTCAATTGAGGTGTTGTTAGGGAGGAGAGGGTGGTGTAATTTTTGTCTCTGTTTCCTCAGTTACATCTTTCCCTTTCTGGCACATGCAAATCTGTCTCTCACTCCTGGAGCTCACCCATGAGTGTCCTGGTAGACTTAAACCCATTTCTTTTGTTCAGCCCTTCCAGATGTATCCAATAAATACCACATCACAGAGGAAGGTATTTTATCTCACTCCTTCATGTAGACCATGCACACAGATGAATATTTTGGTTTTGTGCACACTTTCATGCACTAAGATAAGACATGTGTGAGTTCTAGCAGTGACATCAGTAATAGAACAGGATTATTGGCTAAGCTTTCATTTAAAGATTTTAATATCCTGGGAAATCTGAGCTATATCCCTTTGAAGGTTTGGCATTTTAAACAAAGTTTATGAGATATTGGACCTCCTTAAGATGTGTAGAGCTGGATACACCGAAAAAAAAGATAGTATAGATAATTTGAATTAGGAAATACATGGGTTAAGCACTTAAGTGAAGTTTTGCCCAAGTCTCCCACAATACCCAAGATATTTTGGTCTTAAGAACAAAGAAAAAGCAGGATCCACTAAAAAAGCCCCAGCTAACTTGAAATGCCCCATGCCCTAAACATTCACACATATTTGCAGAGATTTGGAGATTTCCTTTTTACTCGTCCTGAATGATCTTCAGGAGACCACTGGTGTCTTTCTAAGTCACAGGTAATAAAGCCATCTGTCACAACTCCTGTCACCAGACCCCCCTGCAGGTGGATTCTGAGTCATGGGAAGCAGAAAATTGTCTGTACACATTTCCCAGTGTTGAAACTGGACCCTGCCAGAGGAGTCAGAGTAGCCTAAAGTGGAATTGCAAACTTTGCTCTCTCACTTGGGCTCTCCCAGCATCCACAGCTGTGCTGTCAAGTACTACAGTGCACCCTGAAATTGCCTGTTACACAATGCAAATGATGCCTTTGTTATCAGACGTTTCTGAGCATCTCTGACTCTGCCAGCAGAGCTGCAGCCCCTGAGCAGCTCTCACAGGAGGCTTGGTGACCTGAGATCTGCCCCAGGAGCTGTCACTGGTTAAAGCAGCCCCTCCAGGGGTCAAATCAGCCACCAGCTCTGCAGGGTAGCAAAGAAACTAAAACTCCTTTCTTAGAGGGAGGCACCAGAAGAACCTGGATGAGAGGTAAAGGCAGCGGTGCAGGTTACACAGCAAAGTGCCTGCACAGCTCTGTCTGCCTGAAGAGAGGAAGCATCATTCCCACAGCCCCACTGAATCCACCCCGCAGTGAGAGCATCACAAAATGCACAAACACCCTCAAATCAACCTCAACCAGAAAAAATGCAGGGGAGGAGAAGCAACACTGAGGTTCTGCCCTTTTACTAAACTTTGCTGTGCAGTCCAGGCATACTTTTAGCATTAGGCAAAACAAGTGGGGTTTCAAACAGCCCTGGTGGGTTTGTGGCACTTTCCTGGGAGTAAGCAGCACATCTCCTCATGCTGCAGGACCTGAGGCAGTCGAGGCACAGCTCATCAAGCAGACAGCACAAAGGGCAGGAGGGTGTTTTTTCTCTCAGTGTGACTTGGTGAATAAGGGAAGATTTATCCCTGTATTTCTCAAGAACGGCAACAAGACTTGCCCAAAGTTCTGCTCTGCATTCTTGGTCAAGAGACAGCTCAAACAGCTTAACAGGAGGATTCTGAGTGAATGTTTCTGTTCCTCTAAAATGTGCTGCCCTGCCCTGATCCTTCCAGACTTATTTGTCTTAGCCTCAGGCATCCCCAAACCATGACCTGTGTTTGAGGACAGCCACATGTGCTCTGAACCCTGCAGCTCTGCTCCTGGCTGCTGCAGATGGAGAGGCTGCTGGAGCAAAGGGGAGCAGGGATGGTCAGATGGGATGTGTGGCATGGGACTGCCCTCTCTGTCTGCTCCCTGCTCTCCTCTCTTCCAGGCAGATTTCCTCCCTGTATCACACACCGAGCCTGCATCCCTTCCAGACCTATACATCAATTATTCATGCAATATTTATGGCTTATGCATAATTCCTTCTGCACACATTCCTCTCCCTGTTTGGTTCTTGCCTTGCAGCCCACAATCCTGCCAGTCCCTGGGGAGTTTTCTCCTCTTGTCTCGAGGCACAAGGGACTTGCCGAAAATCTCCCATTTGAAACAAGCTTTATACATCCCTTGTTTGTCACATTAACACTGCTACTGAATTCCCTCTCACTTAAGGTCTAAGTACAGGCATTCGAGCACATGAATTTTGCAGATGTAATTCCCTTAAGGATTCTGCCTTCAGGAATGATAAAGTTACAGAGAGCACAGCACTGGGGAAACTGCTGGGAAAAGGAGCAGCAGGCAGCGCTCAGCTTCCCTTGCAAACTCCAAGGGACATGTGCAGCCTCCTCCCTCTCAGGGATCCAGCATGGGTTTGGGGCTGACAGTGCCCAAAATATGCAGAGCTATCGACCACTAAATCCACCTTCAGAGACAAAGGGCAGTGATCTGATCACTGTCTCAAAGGGAAGTGCATGCTTGGCCAAAGCTGCCTGTTCATTTGCTCTCCCTCCCAAAACAAGTCTTTAAGCCTAACAAAAAATGAGTTCAGCAAACAGAGAATTCAACACAAGTGAAAAGAACCGTGCAGGACAGAAACAGGCTGAGACAATTTTTGTTTCCTCCCCATCCCCTGACACAACACTGAGCCCCCTCCTCACTTCTTCTGCCAGGAACAGCTGCTGAACTCAGGGGAAGCTTACCTGGGGTGGATGTCCACGAGCAGCACCAGGGTCTGCATAGTGATCACATCGATGCGCTTACAGTGGAACCGTGCCACCTTCAGCACTTTGAGATATGTGAAGCACAGCACTACCAGGGAGAGGAGGAAGCTGAGGGCGTGAAAGACCCCAGTGAAAATCACAAACTGTGTCCTATCCTCTGGTCTCTTGCTGTAGAGCGTGCAGGAGGCGTAGAGGTGATGGAAACCCACCCAGGAGAGAGAAGCTGCCACTATGGGGAAGGACGCCGAGTGCAGCCACGTGTAGCTCAGAATGAGAGCGGCGTCTCGGTACCTCATTTTGGAGTGATAGCTTAGAGGGAAGACCACGGCAATCCACCTGTCAATGCTCAAAGCTGCCATGCTCAGCATGGAGTTGGTGGTGAGGAAAGTCTCCAGGAAGCCCACAACGTGGCAGACCTCATCTCCCGCCGGCTGACTTTTGTAAATGATCCCAGCCAAGGTCAGGGGCATGCTCGAGACGGCCATCAACAGGTTGCAGAAGGTGAGGTTGAGGATGAACAATCCCGGGACCTGCTTGCGGATGTCGGCGCTGTACAGGAAGCACATCAGCACCAGCACGTTGGCCAGCAGGGCCACGAGCATCAGCACCACCACCACGAAAGCCAGGAGCAGCTCCCAGATGCTCATGGTGCGTCCAGTCACAGCAGGGACATCTCCGAAACTGCGCCGCGCCGGCACCGGGGGACCATGGTGCGAGGTGCCCCCGCCTCGCCCTCCTCCCCAGCCTGCTGGCTCCCGTGCATGCCCTCCGTATTTTTAGAGGAGCTGCAGTTTTCTCCTCCAACCTCCCCCTCCTCGCTGCTCCTTTCCACGTCAACGCTTCCCGAGACGTGCACAAAAGCACTGGGAATGCCCATCAAACTGCAAGGAGGGCTTAAAAAATATCAGCAGGGCTGAACCACTGTCTGCCGTCGGTCCATTTGGAGGAGAGCGTGCTGTTCTGAGAAGCTGCTCTCCTGAGATCCCTAATTATCAGCCCCAAGCTTGCAAGCAATCCACCGAGCGAATTGTGCTCTCTTTCTCCCTTGCTTTCTGCCTCTCTCTCCCTCTCAGTCTTTCTCTCCCCTCCCCTCTCCTCCAACCCTCGCTCTCTTCCAGGCTGAATGTAACCTGCTTTTTATGATCACAGATAAAAACCCCATTAATGGATTAAAGCATGCACACTGCTGGTGATTCGCAAACGTGATTATGTCATCCCTGCTCCACAACCCCTCCCCTTCTCCCTGCCACCGTGACTAGACTTTCCTCAAGAGAAATCCCATGCTTTCATTTAATTGATTTAGCCATTAATTTGCAAACTAGCCTTGTAAATTAATTCCTGCACTCCAGCGTGTTCCCTGCTTTTCAGTGCATCACTTGCAGTGCTGCTGCTTGCTCTCAGCCAGGGCAGGGGCTTTCTTTTCTCTTCCTCAGCCCTGCTTAAAGAGATGGGGGAAATGGATATATTCTGCTACTTCTCTGGGGCTGTCATTAAGCTATGGGAATGGTTTTACTGCTCGGGTTCAGCACTTTGCAGTTCCGTGTCTCCAAATACCATGTGGAAGAGGAAACGGATTGCTTCCCTTCCTTTAAAAGCAGGGAAATGAAAGCCCACATGCCCAAGGTCACAGAGCAGGTGAGGGGCAGAGGCAGCATCGTGCTGCAGGTACCTTTATTCCTCCAGCCTTTCTCCTCTCCAGGAGTTTCTCCTTCCTCCTAATCAAAGCCTCCCTCCCTGTGAGGGTGAGCACCCTGTGAGATCAAAACTAAAAAGCAGCTTGGCAAAGGGAGTAGGAATGAATCTGACTTGCACATAATTAGGTGTCAAAATTAAGTTTGTTTTAAAGGATGGAGCGGGAGCTGATTTCTCATTGCTTTTCCTGTCTCTTTAAATCAGTTTTAACCGGGGAGGCTGAGAGTTTGTGAGCAATCAGGACAGCTTTCTGATCCAGGCAGCCAGGCTTTAATCCCTGCACAATAAGAAGGCAAAAGATACCCTGCAGCACAGTTATTGGGGCTTAGCAAGTGCCTCTGCACGTGTGGGAGAGCTCGGTGCTCGATGCTCGGGCAGTTTTCCCTCGGAGCCTCCGGAGCTGTCATCTCCACGAGCAGCAGCTGTTCACTGCAGCTCCGGAGCAGGGCTGGCAGCCTGCACGCTGCCAGAGCTTGGCATGGTGGAGAGAAAGCATCTTTCACTCCAGTTTTGGTGTGTTTTGTTTTCAAAAGCCAGGCTTTAAGGGGCTGAAAGGAGCAGGTCAGGGTGTGACAGCTCCCTGTTTCCAGAACAGAACTCCTCATGCTGAGGGGATGAGGAGAGACCTACAGTGTTTGTCTCCTTTCCAAAATCAGTGAAGTGGTGGAGTGACCATCCCTGAGAGGGGTCAAAAACCCTGTGGATGTGGCATTTGAGGACGTGGCTTAGTGGTGAACCTGGTGGAGGTGTTGAGTTGATGGCTGGACTTGATGATCTTAGAAGGATTTTCCAACCTTAGTGATTAAATGAGAAAAGCCTAAAGGTGATGCCTTCCTTAAAAAGCAGGGCTTGTTACCCTCTTAGAAGAGGAAATGAGGGAGAGGAGGAAGGTTTTGTTGCTGCTGCTTCACAGCCCCAGAACCTCAGCAAGTTTCCTCTTTGTGTAGGAAGCAGCAGCCCTGCTGAGATGGGTCCCCTGGACCAGCCTGGGCAGGTGTCCAAGGGACACTCAGGGACAGATTAAAGCCTTCAAGCTCAGCAGGCAGGGGCAGCTGTGGGACCACAGGAAGGTGATGTGTGATCTGGGATCCACTGTGAAGAAAAAAGTGGGAAAACTTGCTAGGAAGAACAGGGTGGAAAATGAGAAATTCTGGTGATACATTTATGAGAGGCAAGAACTCTGTGACAGTGGTAAAGGGGAAACACCCCCACTTGGCATCAAGGGGATTTCTGCCTCTTCTTTCTACACTCAGTCTCTTCTTGGGCTCAAATGAACCCTGCAAAACCATCAGCTGCACTGGGGAATTCAGGCTTTTCCTCTGCCTCCAGTGCACGATGCCCTGGGTTTATCAGGGTGGTTTCCTGACACAGCACGCTGTTATCCCTTCAGTGAGCTGTGGTGCCTCCAGGATTGAAAAGCTCTGCTCCTGAGTAATTCCCTGCTGTGACAGGGGTCTGGCGTCAGAGCCAAGCCTGGGTGAACAGTGGGGGAGGAAATTCATGCCCAGAGAAAAAAGATTAGGGATGACAGTAGGGAAAAGAGGATTCTCCCTAAGTGATAGATGTGAAATAATGGGAGGCAGAATGGGAGAGTCCAGTGAAGCTGTGATAGAATATGGAAGGTCAGATCTGGGGGGAAATCTACAATCAAGGGGAAAACCTTTGTAGATATCAGGAGGAAGCTGAAGTTTTTTTTTCTCAGTGTGTATTTTGTATTCTGAAGACCCAAGTGATTTACATAACTAATTCCCCTGCTGCTAATTCCTGTAAGAGGGGGTTTGCTGAACACTTCTGGGCTTATTTATTTTGTGTACCTAAGGGAGCACGAGGGACCCATGAAATGGCTTCATTTTATACAAATCAGGAGGAAAGAATCTGCTGGGCATCTGTCAAGGGTTAACCCCAGCTGGCAATGGAGCACTGCTCAGTCACTCCCCTTTTCCCAGGGGATGGAATCCTGGGATGGAATCACTGAGTCCTTTGGGTTGGAACAGAGTCATTTAGGTTAGAACAGAGTCTAAGACCACAGTCCAAGGCTTTGGACCAGAGTTCAAGGAAGAAAAGGAAGCTCTTTAGGCACTCGTGGGTTTTGGTCTCTCCTCAGCCAGTACTATGCAAACCCTTGTTTGATGGAGACAGAAGTCACAGGTCTGTCTCTTTTTGGGGCATCAGAAGTGACCTTTATACTTCCCCTGTCACCTTCCCTGACCAAAAATTAATTTACTTCAGCCCCTACTCTCCCCATCCCCAGATAACAAGGATCACCCTGTGGATTCTTGCCTGGCTCCCTCCTCTCCAGCAGGGTCTGTGTGTGGCACACTGGGACTAGCTGGGAGTTCCTGGCCAGCCAGATGGCTTCTCATGGGCCACCACTCTGGGGATGTGGGCAGAGAAGCCCTGCACTGCCTCACCTCAGAGCCCTGGGGCTGGGAGTGCCAGGACAGCTCCTCAGCTGCTCCCCAGACCCTCCTGGTGAATTATTCACGCTCGGGCTGTCGCTGCTGCTTTGCTCCACGGAATTAAAGAAACATCAGGCACACGGCTGGTGCTCCTGGAACTTCTGCCTGCTGGATGGGTTTTTAAGGACTCTCAGGGCAGCTAAGGAAATCAAATCAAGCCAGGAGAAGCAGAAAGCCATGGGAAGATTTGAGTCAGGGAGGGTTGTGGGTAGATGTGTGTGTGGGTGGATGGCAGAACTCTCTCCTTCCCTGAGCTCCTTTGGAGCCAGGTGAGAGCTTCCTTCCATCCTGGGGACCAATTAGGGGATGAGCAGGCTCAGTGACTTGGTCCCTCTGTGTTATTCTGGCAAATGCAGGATGTTAAATGACATATTCCAGCAGGGGCTATGGTTCACAATTCATATTTTAGAATCACTCCCTATCAGCACCATCAGTGATGCAGATATTGAGTCACACTTCATCTTCATATGGAGCTCTGTAAGAACAGCATTCTTTTAAAGGAGAGAGTGCGTGGATGTACCTGCTTTATTTGGTTTACCTCAAAGACAAAAAGGGGGGCTCAAAATAGAGCTTGGGCTTTAGGTTTTAATTGCCATTTCTCACCCTGGGAAATATTTATTAACAAAAAATAATTAGCTACATTTTAATGCTTTTAAAGATATAAGAGAATTCTAGTTTGGTTTTTTCTGATTTTTTTTTTGTTCTCAACCTATTTTTACTCCTCGCCTCTTGCTTAATGCTAATGAATAAAAGAGTAACTAATGGGAAAATTAGCATCTTTGAGGGATCTTGAAAAACCCCAATTAAACAAACAAAATTCCATCTTATTTAAATGGAATTCAATAATGGATATCCATAATATCACAGCCTGTAGAGTTATTGAGCACACACCAACACTCTTTCTGTTTCAAACTTTTCTGGAAAGAATAATTTCCAGCCTCAAACTGCTGAAATAATAACTTGGAAATATAATAACAAAAAATATAATAATTCTAAATAGAATCTTAGAGTGGCTTGGGTTGGAAGGGAGCTGAAAGCTCATCCAGTGCCACCCTGCCATGGCAGGGACACCTTCCACTCTCCCAGGTGCTCCCAGCCGTGTCCAGCCTGGCCTTGGGCACTGCCAGGGGTCCAGGGGCAGCCCCAGCTGCTCTGGGCACCCCGTGCCAGTTTCCTATTTCCCTTTCTCTCTAGGATGCTTTTTGCAGCAGCTGAAAGGGAATTGTGTTTGCAGTCAGAGCTGCCTTGTGAATTGATGTCGCAGCCTGAGCTTTGCTTTGCATTGGGAAGTTTGTTCTTGTTCAGGGGACCTGGAAAGGGCTTGAAGAGATTCATGGACCTGTATCCAAGTGGGAAGGTGATGGAACTGGAAGGCTTTTATTCAGGGAAAGGAATGAGGGTGACCTCTCATAATGTCACCTATGATGTGCTGTCACTGGGATTTAAACTGTCCTGGGCAAAGCACTGGGTGTTTGAAATGCAGAGGAAGAAGGAAGACACTTGCTAATTTAAAGACCCCCAAATATTCTTGGCTGTCTGAAGACAGGTAAAGAAAATTATTTCCCATTTTTTTAGGAATAAAGGCAGGACTGGATTTGCTAGATGTTACATTTTATATTGGTCCTATATGTGATACAAGTGATAAAAGTGACACCTGTCAAATCTACACCGCTCTAGATAGAACTTGTTCACTTCACCCTGTACTCCTTCAAAATGTCAGAGCAGAAATCACTTTTGTCACACTTGCTCTTTTTAGATGTGTGGTATTTCAATTTCCTCTTGTTTTAAACTGGGCTGGCTCCTTCTCACTCAGCAAAGATGAAAATAGAGGCTTGAACAGAAGGCTTTCAAAATGATACGTAGATGTCAGTGCCTGCT